GGGTCCGGCAACAACCAACCTCTTAACTTTGTGTGGCATGTTGAACACCAACAGGCGTTGGTAAAACTTGTTTAGGAAGTTGGCACGTATGCCTGCATCAGGAAAGGAATTTAAGATTCCTTCCCTGAAATACTGTGGCTGTGGAGGAGTGGAGTGGTCGTAGGGCACAAAAGTTCTTGGAGACACTTTGCCAAGCATTGATGTGGGGATGGGGCAGGGAATGAAGCATCGCGATTTGATGGAGAAGCAGTACCTATTCAACACCTCAATCAGGTCCAGCTGGAACTCGAGTTGTGGAATGATTTCGCATGCAGGGTGTGACAGAAACTTTTGGATGGAGTGGAAATGTTGGACAAGTTTATAACGCACCTGTTCGTTGGCCATTAGTTGATGGAGATAGCTCGTCACATCCATCATATGGGCAAATACTTGCAATTTGTAAAGGCTGTGATTACAGATTTCCATAACTTTCTGTATTTTAAAGTGGTTTTGGTCACATCGTCGGAAGATAATGATGTGACCAAAACCATATCAAGATAATGATGTGACCAAAACCATATCAACCACGAGACCATCTGATTCAAGCCTGGCGACAGTAGTGTTTATTTGGTGTGGAAAATCGTGGACATTGACTACTACAAGACAACATGGAACAAGGGGAAAACAGACACATCCGCACTGCAACAGTTCTTCAACTTCGATTTCATCTTCATTGCTGTCAGATGACCAATCTTGTGTGTTCCTATAACAGTACACATTAGAATCGTCTAGCATGTCCTGTATTGTCGCATTATTGTGATCTTTGACCACGTTAAACAGTTGTTTCACGCTATAGACGGGTCAAAATACAAAACAAAAGCAATTTACTCCAAAAAAAATTATACAAAAGGTCTCTCAACTTTATTTAATACTTCAAGGCATGTACAATAATATAAAAAAATCTAGCAAAATCGGGTTATTTTTGTATGCCTAACATCCAATATTAAATGCGGTTAACTAATGTGGGAAAATTAAGGAATTTTACATTCCATTTTAAGGAATTCGAACTATGTTAATGATATTTGAGAAGCCATGTTGTTTTGATAAATTTTCAGTCTTATTTTTAATTTTTACAACTTAGATGAGATTTTAAGAAAACAATACCGCTTTTTTCTTTTTGTGTATCATTTGAAAATTTTAAATTACTAATAATGAGCTTGTCATTTTTCAACAACTTTTTAGTCTAGAATTTTCTGATTTTAGCACCTTGGGCATGTATAGTGAAAATTTTACGTTACCTGTCCGATTAGTATTATTAAAGAGGGGGAAATGTCCTTTCTGCGCATGTGCTTAGCGTTTGTTTGTGTGGTCCCCACCGGAAATTGATTTTTGTCGTTCCCAGACTGTTTAGCGCTTGGTGCGCAGCGTATTGTTTATATTCGTATCCATCATGGCAGAACACACTCCTTCCACATCGAGTGAATCGAATTTGCCATTGAGTATGAGCCATTGGAACAAAGGTGCTAGCAGAAAAGAATATTTTGCGAATAGAGATGCTAGTAAAGTCTATCTATTTTATATATTTCCACGCTGGAAAGAATTTAAAAAGGAAAGAAACATCCGAAGTGACAAGGATGTAGCTGAAATGTTGCTTGATGCATATCAGTCACAGATTCGATTGTGGTACGATTTTACATGAATAGATAAAGTTTGTCTTTAGTAAACTTTTTTTCTTACTTTTATTATTATCTTACATCATTTTCTTTTATATTTTCCTGCAGTGTGAGTGTGGATACCCAGACAGAACCAGAAGCCATGCCAACAACCCCTTTTGGAAGCATTCATGAGTCAGATGATTTTCTTTTGCCAGGTTAGTGCTTAGACCAAAAAAATGTTAGTGTGTGAAGCATTCATGAGTCAGATGATTTTCTATGGCCAGGTCAAACAATTGTCAGTGTGTTAAAATGCATCAACGTGTTATTCTTATGCGCCTCATTTTTAAATTTCGTTTTTGCAGTGTTGACCTCGACACCTGGGACACAAGCCATGCAGGCCGGGACAAGCAGTTTTCCATCACCAAGTATGTTACTTGAAGAACAAGTATATTTTTTATAGTTTGATAAAATCAAGTGTAGTTTCCTAAACCTGATATCCATGAGATATAATGTGTAGATTGCACACAATGTATGGTTAATAAACCAATGAGCGGAAGTTAGTATTCCGAAATATTTAGCATATAGTGGAAACACGTAGTGGAAACACAACAAAACAAAGAGCATGGTTTTTACATTGTGATTGAGACAAAGTGACATTATATTTTAGTTTCTCTTTACATTTATAATTCTTTTTATGAAATAAATAGTGAAATAAGTGAGACTGGGAGTTATTGTACCGATGAAGTTCCGTACATTTAGTGGTGCCGTGACCAGGATTAAACAGAAAATTGTGCAAAATACACACGAGACTTTTAGTATTAATTTAAAAGTATGACCGACGGCGAATTGGGTACAAACATGAGTGATTCAAGTCAAGTTGATGAACAAGAAAAGATTTTAGAGAGTAAAATAACTAAAGCAGTCAATAAACTAAAGTATTATCTGGAGGAAACAGACAAACTCGTTGAGAATAATGAAATACAAAAGGCAGTAACTCCAAATAACATTTTGTAGCTTTAATGAATCTACGTTTCGACTATATTTTAGTCATCATCAGGACAGATTAGTGTAATGTTACAAATACTGATATATATATATATAGTTAAGAAGGAGGAGCTTAATAGTGTCACTGAAATATGATCAGTTCTTTTGAAGCTTTGGCGCCGTGGTTGAGTTTTGGTTTCCTTCTGTGAATTGCAAGGGATTCTTTATATAATAGTAGAGACCAGTGATCAGATCTATCAATTACCTTACAGTTCTCAAATATAAGTTGTGTTGTGTTAGTGTTTATAGTTTCAGTAGAATCAGGCGTTAGTTCCATTAGGGTTTTGATGTGTAGGAAGTGTTCATACAAGCAACAACATGCAAGATTCTGATGGGTCGACATCCCCTCAAAGCCTACCGAAAATATGGCTACGCTTACCATTCATTGGCAGATACAGCAACACTTTGACAAAAAAGTTTATTAACAAAACCTGAAAACCCGCCGCTTGCTGAAAGGTCCATGCAAGTTTATTCTGCTCTGGAAAACCACCCAAGTCAATTGTTTTCTATCATGCAAAGATAAAACTCCAAGTGAATATCGAAGCTCTGTAGTGTACCAGTTTTCCTGCCCTTACGAAAATTTCCTATAGGAATTCCTATAAGAAAATAAAATTATTCTAATTTCCTATAAGATTTTTGGTATTCCTGCAGAAATTCTAGAATCTAGATGAAATAATAGTAAATGACAGACAATGTTGTTCATCACTCTTAATTTTTTAATGCAAAAAATATATATAAATACTAATAAATACTAATTAATATTGCAAATATAAAAATTAATATGAGAAATTGGTTATACTAAACATTACAAATCAATTATAGTTTTCACCTATTATGCCAAATTAATCGTTCTACCTCAATGCAATGCCATACGATGCGTCCTACTTTATTATTTTACTCTGTCTAACTATTTTACTTTGTCTAATGCCAGACTATTTTACTCTGTCTAACTCCAAACAATTGTACTTGAATGTCAAGGGGAAATGCTGGCTCCGAATGGGTTAACTAGCCTATATTCCTATATATGTGTCTAGTTAACCCATTGAATCACATTGTGTTATTTTACTATAGTTTACTCTGTCTAACGCCAGACGATTTTACTCATCAGAGCGCTGGCACTTAATGGGCTAAACCATAGGTAATAACCATAATTGACATTTAAAGTTAAGTTTAAAACTGGCCTCAAATCATAGTCCTCAAATAAGTTCTTGTTCTTGTTTGTTTTTCTGTACTTTGCAACACTTTCCCATGTTGTTTATATTTGTCCTCATATGTTGACGAACCTCTGAGGCCTTACATCCATACTTTGTTGATAGCTGTAAAAAGACAAATACATTTATTTTATGTATACCATTCCAATGTGTTTTGTTAACCCATTAAATATGCCCAAATGCACCCAATTTATTATTTTACTCTAAGTGGAAAGTCTAGCACTTTAATAGAATAAACACAGTAAAATAACAAAGTACTAAAAGTAGGGCACATTGCTTCTAAATATGCCACACAGCAGCTTTTGCAGTTAATTATTAACCTTTCAATGACCAACATTCATTTTGATGAGTAAAATCATCTGATAAATATCAAAGTACTGAAAGTGGGGATTGAGTGTTAGGGTGAATTGCATCTAAATGTGCTAACGCCAAATAATGCAAAATAGTCTGGTATTAACAGGGCAAAATAGTGAGCTTTGAAATAGAGCACATTAGTGTGAATTTGTGAATTGGGTCTTAATGAGTTTACACAAAACACAGGGAGACAGCAAGGTAACCTATCAAAGTTGTCCACTCTCTTTCAAGTAAAATGATCTGGTGTTAGACAAGGTAAAATAAAAAAGTACTGAAAGTTGAGCACATTCATCTTAACAAGTTAGCATGAAATGTAAGTTAGCATGAAATGTAAGCTAGCAGAGAGTCTGGTTAATTTGAATACCATCACATAGTTATGTTTATAAACTGTGGTTTAATTAATAGAAAAACATGGATAATTTTCCTGGCATTACACTAAAGCATGTCTAAAGGCTAACAGATTTTAATACATTGACTGGTGCAAGACCTCTCAAAATGAAAATTGTTTAATTTAAACAAAACATATGAATAAATACTGCTGCTGATTTGAGCAAGTAGTTGTTAAATTTTCTAATCAACACTATACCCGCCTAGATTAGTTTTTAACTACTTGCGGGTTAAGCCTAGTTTCCATTTGGTCGTTAGTTGTCGCTGGCACGACAAGTGGCTGATGTAATAGAGTGTCAACAAAACTTTATAAAACTCTGCAATCATTAAAACTGATTTGCATATAACCTGACAAAAAGACTATTGATATGAGACTATTTCACATCTACCGCTTGTCGTGCCAGCGACAACTAACGACCAAATGGAAACTAGGCTTTAGTGTAGTGTGTAACTTGTTTGTTTTTAACTTGTAATAAATTGAATTGAAAAAAAATTAAAATTGAAATTAAATATGGCTGACAATTTACAATTAATCTGGCATATACAGTTGGCACTTGGGATATACAAATATATTAATAAACATGGTTAAGTCTGATTCAAATATAAAACTTTTATAGTAGCATTTGTTGAAGTATAAATGCTATAAATATATTTATATCAGCATTCTAATTCCGTTTATATAATCGCGGCAAATTCAAATTTTATCGAACCACATGCTCGAATTTCACAAATGAAGATTGGAGGTATTTCCTTTATAATTTGCTTTATTATAAATAAAATATAAACTTATTCTTACCTGAACATTATGCAAACATCCCTGATGTATTACTAGTGAAAATCCAGTTGTATCCCATCAAAAATAGTTCTATTTTGCACATAAACCATTGACAAACGTTTACTGACTTGAAAAAATATCGGAGGTGTGATGATCTATCCCTTGATGCTTTGCGCGCGTGGCAAGAAAACTAGACACCAGTCTGTCAGTCGCGCACATTGCGGTAATTATTCATTTAATCTTAGAAAATAAATAGTCCCAGTATTAAATTCTTTATTAATAAATGTCTATGAGTAAAATACGATATAGGAATAGTGTAGTTGTATAAGAAATTAAAATTCCTATAAGAATTCTTATAGGATATGATAATAGTGAAAAAATTCCTATAAATAGAAATTCCTGTAGGAAGGAGTTATTTCGTAAATTATATTCATCGGTATAATTTTTTATATCAGTAAAGTTCTTATACCCATGCATGTATCAGGCCATAGTGGTATAGGCTATGAATTTTTCCCACCATTTTCCAATCCTATAAGAATTCCTATAGGAATATTTTTTCCTATAGGATTTTTTTTCACCATTTTCAAATCCTATAGGAATTCCTATAGGAATTTTCAATGCCTATAGGAATTCCTATAGGAAATTTTAATTCCTATAGGAATTCCTATAGGAATTTTCAATGCCTATAGGAATTCCTATAGGAAATTTTAATTCCTATAGGAAATTTCAATTCTTATAGGAATTCCTATAGGAATATTTTTTACCATTTTCAATTCCTATAGGAATTCCTATAGGAATTTTCAATTCATATAGGAATTCCTATAGGAAATTTTCGTAAGGGCTAGCAAGGCGTTAGCGCCTACGACCTACACAGTCGCTTTTGAGACCTCTATTTAACAAAACTTATACCGTTTCCATATGACAACAATTCAATGGCACATTATAAGAATATTATACGTATCTGAACCAGAGCCATATACAGAAACGTACGCGTGAAATGAAACTGCGCCCGAACCCCGAGACAATGAAAGGGCAAATATTTCCAAGCATATACGTTCATACGTTTTCGTTGTTTGATTTTCTGACTTGTTTGTTGCTATAAGAATCTACAGTTTAGCATGTTTGTATAATTTAAAAGCAAACAGAAACCAATTTAGCAAGTATTTTGAAGTATATATGATTCTCAAAGATGATTGTGTAGAACGGTCACTCCTTGCAATCGAAGTGTGAGGTGCGGAAGTGGAAACATGTAATTTGATACTTTTCCATCCCCCTCTTAGGTTATCAATCACTGAGCTATACTTAATATATCTGGAGATCGTGCTCCAATACCTCGTCAGTCAAAAATGTGTGGCCAAAAACATGGCGGATTTTGGCCAAATTTACGTCATTTTGACGTCACAATCGACCTAAATTTATGGTGAACACCACTGACCTAAAATACAAACGTAAAGAAAAAAGTTATTCACACCCCCCTTTCAATTTGCTTAAAACAGAAGGAAGTAAATTCAAAATTTCGGTCGGAAATTTCTATATTGAAGCGAGACATTTGCAACCATGCCAACTTTTTGTTCAATTCCTGGTTGCCAAAAATCTACTCAAAGAAAGGACCTGTCCTCACATGCGTAAGGCTCGTATAATCTCTTTTTTTTAATAATTTAACGCATGCTGTATTGCTGTATTGAAAGC